TTCGGTTTAATTGCATGAATGTCATTTAATTTGTGTTTGAATAATCTAACTGATATCTCTTGTAACCTGGAACGGTCGCTAGAATTACAATTGCCTGCAGAATAAATTAAGAGAGATCTAGTTTATTCTAGGACACATTCACACACACTTAATCGTTCGCTAAGAGATTACTAGCGATTAAGGGGCCTTAAGCTCGCTCGTCTTGGCAATAATTTAGGATCCTGTCGCATGAGAGATCAGCCTGGTCCCCTAAATTATTGTACTCTACGCCGCGAGAGCGGTAAGAACTTAGTAGTGATTAGCTAGGCTCAATTAAATTAATTTCAGGTAATTAGGCCTGATCAGCCAGAAATCTGGTTACCCCGGAATCAATCCCTGTTCCCTTCGTCATTAATTAGAGAGACCCCCCTAGTTTAATCGTTTTATTCGTATTAGTTTTATTTTCCAAACCAACCAATCTCGCACGACGCATTTTTATTTATTTCTTTTTAATCGCTGAATTTAGTTAATCTTTGATTCCCTTTTGTCTGTCCCTGTGGAGACGATACTCGTACTTACACCACTATATTACAATCTATTTTAAGTGCGAGAAAACTCACATCATCCTACATCCTACATGCTCCCAAAATCATCTCCACCAACATCCGACATTTTACTTTTTTCATCCATATACTGCTTAGAAGCTCTTGATAAAAGACGAAGATTGTTATGAACGAATACCAAATCTTGTGCTCGCTTTGGAAGCAGTTTGTTTCTTCTAAATGAATTAATAAAAGAATAACAATTCCAATTCCTTTATGAGCATGATGATGAAGTAGGTTGTCCTAGTATTTTGAAACGTAAATTTTGAAAAACAATGTGCATTAAAACCAAAGCATGCTCACCACTTCTTAAGTCCCATGTAGTATCTCCTTGCAATAGATTCAAGATCCTCAAATGATCCACTCAAGAGTGAAAAATTAACGAACTCATTGATTACCTTTGCACGATCATCGTTAGGAAATAATTTTCTCATACATTTGTTTCGCTCTATAGAAATTAAAACTCTCCATCTTTGATCCATCCCTTTCTTTGATCCATTCTTCACCAAAGACCTGCAAATTAATTAAAAGCAGGCACAACAATTTCATCTAAATTTTGATATAATGAACAAGTATAAATCTATAAAGCTAAATTATAAACAGTGTAATGGAGTATTGCTTTTCCCCCAACGATCAACCAGAATTTTATAAACCACGCCATGAAACAAAGAAACCTCATAAGGTGCCTTCCCTTCATGATTATAAATATTTCCTTCACTTTTTCTATCATAACATCCCGCATATCATAAACCAGATGAAGGCCTGACTTATTTGTATCACACACTCTTATCATATCATAAACTGGTGAAGTAAAAGCAATAATATATAATCAATCTTGGCCCACCAATTCTCATCCAATACTTTGTCACGAACAAATCTAGCCTTGCCTTGTTGATCATCTCGAAATCATTGTTTCTAACGAACGCCTAATCAGTTTGAATCTCTTAAGTACCACAACAACCGAAGCAAAACGAGTTTCAGCAACCAAAAATAGCTTCAATGCATGGAGTGAACTGATTTTATATGTACATCATCACCATAAACTTATGTGATCCAATGACACTCTTCGTAAGTCTCTTGATTAGACTCCACATTTTTAGCTGCACAAATATTCTTCAAGGCTAGATTTAGTGTGTGCACAACACAAGGAGTCTAGTAAATGTGTGGGAACATGCCTTGAATAATTTCCCCAGCAGCTTTGCAATTTCTTGCATTATCAGTAATGAATTGTACAACTTTTTCGTGACCAATTTCATCAATCACCTCCTTTAAAAGATTAGCAATAAACCGTTTGTGTTTAACTTCACCGGAACAATCACAAATTAGTTGCTTTAATAGGAAAGTGGCAAAGTTTTTTAGGACAACCAAAAAGGGAAAGTTGGCAAAGTCCAATGGGACGGAAGGAGTATTGTTCACCATGAGTTCCCTAACCCCGAATATCATTACTGGCTTAAAATTGAACAAACTATTCATTCTTGGTTGTTTGCTACACTTTCCTGTGATATTCAGGTTGAATTTAATGATCTGTGTGTTCCTCCTTTAATTTAGGAACGACTGGAGACACGCTTTATGTCTGCCAGTCTAACTTTTTTTTATGGTATGCCAGAATACCTAGATCAATGGAACTTAAATGGATTTTGTCTCATATTAAGAAAAAGGATTTTCAATCCATGGACAAATATTTGCGGGAAATCGAAATTATTGTTGATGCTCTAGCTGCAGTTAATTCCCCAATCAGTCATCATGATCTTCTTCAGTGCACGATCCTTGGTTTGGGCATCGAATATGAGTCCCTCATAATGTCAGTTACCCTATTTCCGTCACACTTCACATTTGATTCTCTTTGACCTCAATTATTGGCTTTAGAGCAATGGGCTCTCTTTCTCTGGGCTCGGGAATCTACACCTGGTCATCAAGCTTTTGCCACTAGAGTGCAGCCTACTGCGGCTGGTCGAAAGGGGGGTCAAGGGGGTTCTCTCTCACGTGGCAATGGGGGCAGAAAGTACCACGACAATGAAGGTGGTCGAGCCCATGGGCATCACGAGAGTGGTCGTGGCTACGGCAGTTAGCACGGTGGAGATCGCAACAGCAATTCTGCTCCAGGATATGGTCATGCGCGGGGGAATTATGGTGGGCAGCTGTCAGCTGTTGCGCAGATGGCTCCGGCACGTGGACAACATCCCGGGATTCCGGGTATGTGTTAGTTTTGTTTTTATCCAGACCATTTTACATTGTTTTGCTCCCGCTCCACTAGTAATTCCAGCTCGTGTGGCTCTCCTAACGGATGAGTCAAATGACTTGTATGGTACCCTGACTTAGGGGCATTGGCACACATGACTCCACGTGAAGATATTCTTTCTTGTAAATCTACTTATATTGACTCATATAATGTTCAAGTTACAAATGGTAATAAACTTCAAGTCTCTGTAATATTGGCAATAGTAGTATACCTACGATAAGTCACCCGATTTCCTTAAATAAAATCTATCATGTCTCGCACCTTCAATATAATTTATTATCTATTCAGCGCTTGTGTGCGGATAATGATTGTTCTGTAACTTTTAATAATAATAAAATTCCCGTTAAGAATAACCACACAAGAGTCATTCTACTCCGAGCCTCCAATAAAGACAGTGTCTACCATTTACTGCATCTCACCCACCACCATCCTCTTTTGCAATAAATACTGCACTGGTTCCTTGTTCGGTCTGGCACAAACGTCTTGGTCAATGTGGGGTCACATTTTATTATCTCTTAGGGAAAAAGATTAATTCCTGGTAGTAGTATTTCAATTCATAACTGTGATTCATGTAATCTCGGCAAATCTCACTATCCTCCCTTTCGGGATGTTATTCGTGATTTTAGTGAACCTTTACATCTTATATCCTCTTCCTTCCTTAAGCCATGGACACTTACCCCTCACCGGTTCCAATGCATCCTCGCAATCAGCCACCCCTCCCCGCATTCTTTCACCACCGACAACAATCTCCCCTACATTGGCTTCCCCAACACTCCTACCTCACCGGCTTTTCTACCCATAGCAGTGTTAGATTAATCCCCCGCCAACCCCTCATCCACCTGATCTTATATTCCATCCGGCCCCTATCCCCGTCTTCCCCTACCTCTCGGCCTCCCCCCTCTCTCCCTACCTCCTTTATCCGAATGGCCTCCGATGTTCATCCCATGAACAGTAGTGCTAAAGATGACATGTTTAAAACTAAACATATTTTTACTTCTAACATTTTAGGTCATCCTAGTGAACCCATCTGTCTTTCTCAAGCAAATAATTATTTATTTTGGCGGGCAACCATGGCTGATGAATATAATGCTCCCATTGCTAATAAAATTTAGGATTTATTGCCTTGTGATAACACTAAAACATTGATTGTAAGTGGATTTACAAGACAAAGTATCATTCAAGAAATAGTCAATAAAATAAATAATATATGAAATTTTCGTGTACCCCATTTAACAATAAAATTTTTCATCAATTACCTAAAAATAAATATCAAGAAAAGAATTAACATTCAATCTGAAAATTTTTCAAACAGTTGGTGGACATTTAAATAATGATAAGCTAATGTAAACAAATCACATTATTATTAGTGAAAGGAGAGTTGTTCTTATCAAAATTTCATCTAATTTGATTTTTTTGGATTCACATGTGTTAATTTTAGATCAATTAAAAGTTGGTGATATAAAGAAAGGAGAAGAAGTAACGATCTATGGGGAACATGAAGTTGACAAAGGAAAATAATACAAAGGAGAAACAACGCATCTAACTATTACGGAGTATTATTCAAATTATGATTAATTACAAAAATATTGAGCTATATAATACGGAGTAAGTAGTAAAAAGGAGAAACAATGCATCTAATTAACTATTATGGAGTAACGATCTATGGGAAAATGAAGTTGACACGGGAAAATAATAAAAAAGGAGAAACAATGCATCTAACTATTAGGGAGTGAAAGATACTTTTATATTGATCATGTTTGTTAGAGATTTTTTGTCTCTCTATCCGGTTCACAGACAAAATATGACTTATTTTTTCTGTGAACGGGATTCACAGATAAATGAAAAAGTCTTTCACAGAGGTGAGTATAGGGGTGGATAGAACAAGAATGGTCAGAGTATATATCATTCAAAATTATGATGAATTACAAAATACTCAACTATGTATTTAACACTATACAATTATGTGTAGAGTATAATTTGCATCATCTTACTGTATGAGAACTGTCCAATGGTAATTATTTTTAATGATAAAAACCGGAACATGTGAGCTAATTTTCTCAGATGATAGAGAACTTGTAACTATCTCAAATTCGTTTCCCAAAATTCTTTCATTAAAAATGAAAAAAATAAATATACAAAGTGTATATAGGGGTGTTTTTGAAAACATTACTAAAAATGGGATATATGAAAGGTGAATATAGTAGATCGATATTTGGGTACAGCAAATAAAAATAAAAATCACAAATTGTTTTAGCTTGTTGTACCGATGAAGTACTGTTTTTAGTAATTTACGTCTCTACCAAATTTATTCTAAAAAACAGTAGTCTTGAAACGTAAACAAAAAATCGCAATTTTAATTACATACAAGATCAGATCAGATTTTTTATGAAACCCAAAAGCAAGAATTGAATATGATGAGAAAAGCTGCCTTAGCAAAGTTGTGATGCCTACACATACGTACTCAAGAGCTATGACCTGAACTGGTACATCTCCATAAGAATTAATGGTGGTGATCATCATCATCGCTGCCAAAATGGCTCAACCCCATGCCACCTGCTGAACCCATGGAGGATGCGAACTTCACTAGCTCCTCAGCGAAAAATGGCCGCCCGCCTTCGTTTCCCATCCCCAAAAAATCTCTCGTTAAATGACTCGAATTGACCCCGCTCATCGACACCCCGCGGTGGCTTTGCCCGAAATATGCCGAATGCTCTACACCTCCGCTGTCATTGCCGGGGCTGTTGAAGTTGTTGTTGTGCGAGTCCTTGGCGAAACCCCGCAAGTTGTTTGAGGATGACGATGACGAATTCATGAGCCCGAATCCGTTTCCGTACAATGTCGGGTTGCTCTTCGTGGACCCGATCTGCGCCGCTTTCAGTAGGAGAGCGGTGGCTGACATCGGGGCCAATGAGTGGTGGTTCTCATGGGTGTACATCGAGTTCAAGGTTTCGGCCATGGACGACGATGTGGCCGAAACCTTATTTAGAATCATCATTCCTCCTTCCGCTACCGCTGCCGCTGCCGCTGCCGCCTCATTATCATGCGCCGGGAGAGTAGACAAAGAGAGGCTCCCCGTTGCGAAATTCTCAATCGAAGGCGAGGACTGGCCATAGATGAGGGGCGAACCATCAATGTGTCCGTGCAACATATCGGGCAGCCCGGTGGAGCTATTTGACCCGAACAGATTGCCCGAATTCGCAGCTTGCATTTGATGAATTGGGCTGCTGAGGTGGTGGTGGTGTGGGTGATTACTATTGTTGGTGGTGGTGTTATTCGCCCCCGCCTGGTCTAGCCACAGAGACAACCTCGGCTTCTGCTGGAAATCCGGCTGGAACCCGGCCGGAATCTGGGGAATTCCGGCACCGGAAGAAAACCCGTGAGGCAAATTACTCTGATGATGTTGACTCAATAAAGCCTCATTGTTCCTGAAGCTCAAAGTAGTGGCAGCCACGGAAGTGATCCGTGCGCTCTCCTCAGCCAAAGCATCGCAGAAAGCTCTGTGGGTAATAAAGCTATCTTTCCTGATATGGATCAACACAAGAAATTCAGGACATTTATTACACCAAACACACAAATGGGGTGGCAACCCAAACCAGAGATGTAATCATAATGAAGATTCCTACTGTAACATTAAATTCAGAACAAACATCCTTAAAATTAATTTCGTTTAGGTACGGAGTAGAATGAATGAATGAACCTGGAAAAAAGCGTTCCACAGTCACATTTATACTCTCTGGTGCCACAGGTCTTAGAATGGGCCTTCCAATCCGACTGAACGGCGTACTTCTTGGAGCATTTCTCACACTTCCATTTCTTCTCGCCGTGCTTCCGGCTGAAATGCTTCTTAATTCCGGTGAGGTCGCCGAGAGCCCGGGAAGCGTCGTGGTGGACGCAGCTCTTCTCCGGGCAGATATACACCTTCCTCTTCACCAGCTCCGTTTTGGCCCTCTGCTTGAGCTTCCATGGCAGGTTGTGCCCTCTCCGGTGAAGTTGCAGGTTCTGGTCTCTCTGGAATCCCTTGTTGCAGATTTCGCAGACAAATCTGTTTGTCGCCATTAGAGTCTTCGGAGATAGTGCAATAACTTCAGCATCTGGATCTGTATGTAAAGTAAAAAAGATTCATTTTTTATTCAAATCCCAGAAAAAGAAGCATGCAAGAATCAACATGGTTGATTGAATAAATATGTATGAACCATAAAAATGAATACCTGGTGTACCTGGTAGATTTCTTCTCTTCTTGGAGGGAGGATTGGGCTTAGGGTTAGGGTTAGGTTCTTGAGGAGGAGGATGAATAGTGGGCTTGAGACAAGAAGGGATTGAAAACACATCTCCAGACATCATTTCCCCAGGAAGATCAGAAAGAAAGGCTATTTCAAGCTTTACTGCTGCTGCTATTGAGAAAGAGCTAGAATACAAAGCCTGGGTGGGAAGACATGGCTGGAAAGGAGTGTTTTTTTATCAAAAAAAAGCTAAGAAACAGTCCTTTTCTCTTTAATGAAAAGTAATCTTCACCATAATAATCAAATCTGAGGAGTGAGGAGTTTCAGGTAAGGGTGGAGGAAGAGGACGAAGCTGAAGAACAACCTGAGGTGAGTAGTCATTATAAGCACAGACAAACGCAGAAGGAGAGAGAGAAGAAAAAACAGGAAGCTGCTAGCTAGCGAGGATGGTGATGAAGCTAGAAAAAAGAAATGAGAAGAAAAAAGAAAAGAGAAGAAATTTTTTGTTCAAGTTGTTGTTATTATGAGCAGAAAACACCAAAAGGAAAACATGAAAGGCGAGGAAGAATATTTCCTTTCTTTTTTTCTCTAACCACCACCAGCACACTACTGCACCCTTCCTCTCTCTTACAAACTTCATCTTCCACGTCTTTTCACCTTTTATCGTAACCCCTTCCCCTTTTTCAAAATCGGTCAGCCATTTTTTAGCTGCACGGACCCTGCCCCGTCCTCTCCAAATACATACGCATTATATCCCAAATTAAATACAGAGTAAAACAGTCATGATTTGTAAAAAAGAATTTATTCAATTAATTGAATTGTATTCAATTAAACAGTCTAGTTTGTTTAAGTTTGATCTAATTTGATCTAGTTTAATAAATGTTTGATTTCTGTGTATTTTATAAATCTTTGAACCGATCTGGTCTGAACTGGTCTGTTAAGTCTGGTCTGAGACTGAAAACGATCCAGATAAAAACATCATAAAACCATATGCGGTGTACTCGCTAAATCAGCTTTGTGTAGAGAAAGGAAAAATAACTCTAATTATATATTTATTACTAAAAATGGAATAATGTTTCTATAACAACTACGTAGTACATATGAAAAGTCCATAAAATTTTATGAGACGCACTACATATATGTTAAATTAAAGGTAATAACTCCGGTACTCATTAAAAAATGGGGTATCGTACCTATCATTCACTTAATTGGTCCAAATCATTAAATCATTTTTAATTTAGATTTAAATAATTCAACTGCATCATTCTGATTGGTACATGTGGACATAGCTATGGTACCTTAAGGGTACCATAGAATCTACCTAAATTAAATTCAAGTTTCGCGTATATTCATTATTATGAAAGAATGACATAAATATTACCTCTCAGCTTTTATGGGACAAAATTATTTTTTGACAAAAAAGTGATCACTCATTCTTCTCATTCTTCTCAAAACAAACTTAAGCTTTCTTTTGTCTGTTGCGCACAAACCCCAGGCACAGAGCACTCAGGGACGGATCCAAAGTTTTGAGTTATGGGGGGCGAAATTTTTCGGTGAAATTTTTTCGCTAATGTGGCAGAGCAAAATTTTTCGCAAGTGTAGGGCTTTGCGGCTATTTTTATTCAAAAAAATTCCATTAAAACATACATGACAACATTTAAATCTATTGCAATCTAAGTTTAGAAAATGGAAAAATAACTTTGATTTTTTAGTTAAAGGGCTCTAGAAAACGTATTGATACATTAAAAAGGATATATACATTTTATACAATTATTTGAATATAAATTTTTTAAAAGATTTACATCCATCAATACATTTTAAATAACTTCTGATTTGTTTAACCACATGAATCTTATTCGAATAAAGAATTGAATTTTGATCTGAATTACAATTTTTGTCTACTAAGGAGGGTGTTTATGAGTCAGGAGAAGTTTTCTTAATATTATAATAATACATATGAGATTATTATTTTTAGAATAATTGCAGATTCTTGTAAACGGTGCATATTATATTTGTATTAATGTTAAACTATGTTGATGTTTATTATATATGCAATAAATTATTTTTAGAAAGTAAGAAGTACATCGCTTGTGTAATATATTTAATGTTAATTTTCAACAAACATTTATATTTTGGATTCATTTCACATGATCTAACAAATATAACTAGTGTGTCTGATATTTAATATCGTTTGATATTTTAGAAAATTGAGTACTAATTATCTAATAAAGACAATTAAACATCACCAAACTAGGAATGTTTTATATAATAAGTATCCTAAACAATGAGTTTTTGTGTTATTTATTTGTTTAAGTTATGTATTTAATTTAGATTTTCTTCTTATAATCTCCAATAATTAAGTATTACATTATGTAAGACTATATATTAATTTTGAAAACTACCTTTCCAAAAAAGTTGGAAACTAAATGTTAAGGGGGGTGAACACATATACATTTAACTAAAGCATAAAGAATTTATGAAAATATTACATATATAATAGAAAATTTTGAAAGTCCCAGGGGGGCGATTCCCCCCCCCCCCCCCCTAAATCCATCCCTGAGAGCACTAAGCAAAGAACAACACTTCCGGATGCGCAACAGCCTCCATCTCTTCCGCTGCCACGGCTGTCTTCATCGCCTGTCGCCCGTCACCCATCGCCTGTCCTGGTTGGCCATCTCCTATCTCCATCGAACGTGCCTGCCATCACGCCGATCTTCTCCTTCTGTTGCCATCTCCATGCCCACGCCCATCTTCTTCTCATTCTTCAATTTCTTTCCTATTGTGGGGGTTTGAAGAGGTAAATATGTGTTTTCAGATCTAGATCTAGAATGGGGGTGGCGTGATAGATCCGTGAGATCTGGTACCAAAACAAAGAGCAAAGTGACAGAGAATGAAGAGGAATAATCGGAATAGCTTTATTTCTCCAACTGAACAGTTCACAAAGGATACAGTGCTCAGGGGCTGATTCGAGATGCCCAATCTCCCAGTACAGTCCAATCCAAAATAAAACCTACCCTTCTTTTAGTTGACTCTTCTATTTATAGTCCTTCTCCACGCAGGGATAAAAGGAACTAATAACAATAATAGACTTCTTATCCTTTCTATTATACTCTTTATAGAATAGGCCCACTAATTATTTATAGAATAGGCCCAATCATTATTTATTCCTATCACTACTCCTCCCCTAAACAACCACCTTGTCCTCAAGGTGGGTGATAGGAGTCAGCCTTGATCTTCATATTGACCTTCATTCTTGCGCCCCTCCCTTCCCAGTACTTTACTGCTTTCTGTTTCCCTAGCTTCCTGATTTGGACCTTCAACTTCACTCCTTCCATTGCCAGAAAAAACATAGCAAGAGAGAGCAAAGACAAGGACTGTTTTGCATCCTGCTGCATGATGTTGCTGAGGTTAAAGACTTCCAGCAACTGCATCTGTGTACCATCTCCCAACCTCCATCTCAGGCCATGTGTAACTCCATTACACTCAGATTTCAGAGTATCTAACGGCCAATGCACCAAGTCTGGGACAATTTCTTCAACCTTGCTACCAAGAGAGAACTCTTCAATCCATTTCAGTCCAGAATTCGAGGCGTCCCGAATTGCAGAAAGTACCCCATTAAAGCCTTCCATACCCAGAACCAAAAACTGGTCAACCTTCAAATCAGGCTTCATGATCAACTTTCTTAACCCTGCCTCATTAATAACATCACTGGCTGTGTCTGGCATATATCTATCAGGATTATGTCTAGCTGATTGTGGTACAGCAGATGTTATGGTTTCATACGGATGTTTACCTTTATGATGCTCATCATCCGCACCCCCTGGCAGTATCTGTACAGCATCCCCTAGCCACCTCCTTCGGTGTTCTCCATCTTTCCATTCCATAGTCAACTTCTGGAAGTCAAACTTCACTCTTCCCAGTTGTGCCAACCATTCCAGTCCCAGGATTAAGTTTGATCCTCCGAGATCCAAGACATAGAAGTCTTGCTTAATCATCACGTCTTGCACTTTAATTTGTAGCTTTTCACATCTTCCATTGTTCCTTACACGTTCTCCATTGCCTAGTTCCACCTGGAATTCTCCTAACTGCTGGAAAGGCAATTGCATTTCTGTGATCAGCTTCTGAGAAACAAAATTGTGAGTTGACCCGCAATCAATAAGGATATCCACCTGCCTTTCTCCCTGATTCCCTTTTAAAAGCCCCTTAACTGTGAAGGCCCTCAGGGTAGGTATCCTCTCTCTGCTCATACGAGATAATTGCATGGATTTTGATTCCAACACCACTTCTTCTACTGGAATTTCAGGTTCTTCAGAATCTGTTTCTTCTTCAGCATCCGAGTCTTCTACTAACATCATCTTATAGTGCCTCAGCTTGCAGGTATGCTCTTTATTCCACTTCTCTCCGCACTTAAAACACAGCCCCTTCCTGCTTCTTTCCTGAAGTTCTTCGTGAGATAACTGAGGTGCTACCTTTCTGATCCCTGAAGATTGCATGTCAGTGATCTTCTTCTCCATTCTCTCAAACCATGAATTGAAATCCCTGCTTTCAGCTGCACCTTTGCCATTATTGTTGGAACCAGAGCTCCCTATTTTTGCTCTAAATCCATCCCCCCATGTCTGAGGTTTTGCAATAGTAGGTCCCTTCTCCTTCAAAGTCAGTCTGTCTTCTTCATTTCTCCTCCCATACATAGCTTCGTTTTTGTCTTCAATCAGAATGGCTGTGTCCATAATCTCATTCAAAGTACTGGAGCTATGCAGCTTAAGATCCGCTTTGATTTCAGCCCTTAGGCCATTCAGGAAGATCCCTTTCAGCATCTCCATATCAATATTAATTTGCGGAGCTATGACCATCTCAAATTCATCTCTGTAGTCCCGAACAGTACCAGTCTGCCTCAAGCTAAGCATTGGCCCATAGGGATTTTGAATCAATTCCGGTTGGAACCTACGTATAACTGCTGCCTTCAAACTCTCCCAGTTCTTCCTCTCAGTCTGATGCTCCCACCAAATGAACCAGTTGATTGCCCTTCCCTCCATTGCGACCACAGCTGCTTCAACCTGTTCTTCTTCATGAATGTGATTTACTCGGAAATACCTCTCCATCCTTACAAGCCAGTTATAAGCACTATCTCCAGTAAAAATAGGCAGATCAATTTTACGACCAGTTTGAATAGTAAACCGATTATAATTCTCAGGTTCCCTGTGATGTTGGACGCGGAAGTGATTCGGAGAGGGATTTCGATTACCTCCAGATGTCGTGGGGCTGTTAGATGAGCGCACATGATGTTGAGGTGGAGATCGCACACGATGCTGCGGAGGCGATCGCGATCGTGCTCTGGATCTGAACTGTTCACCCATGGCGGCCATTGAAGCCGACATGCTTGCTGACAGCGCATCTATTGCTGAACGCAACTCTTCCTTGAATTCCGACTGTACCTCCGATAACCGTCGCTCGATCGCATCCATACGCAGCTCCATCTTTGCTCGCGTTCTGACCATTCACCAATGGAGCGACAGGGTTTTGATTCGCGCGCAAAAAAAATCCGATCACCAGGCGTGATTGCTCTGCTGAAGTCGCACGTCACTTCCGAGTCCCAAGAGCTATGCTCTGATACCAATGATAGATCCGTGAGATCTGGTACCAAAACAAAGAGCAAAGTGACAGAGAATGAAGAGGAATAATCGGAATAGCTTTATTTCTCCAACTGAACAGTTCACAAAGGATACAGTGCTCAGGGGCTGATTCGAGATGCCCAATCTCCCAGTACAGTCCAATCCAAAATAAAACCTACCCTTCTTTTAGTTGACTCTTCTATTTATAGTCCTTCTCCACGCAGGGATAAAAGGAACTAATAACAATAATAGACTTCTTATCCTTTCTATTATACTCTTTATAGAATAGGCCCACTAATTATTTATAGAATAGGCCCAATCATTATTTATTCCTATCATGGCGACTAGGGTTAGGGGGGTCGGGTAGGGCTGACGGGGGGGGGGGGGGGGGTCTAGTATTGACTGGTTGGGCAGTGGTTGGAAAAGGTCATTTGTCGTCGTCGTTGGCGACCGGGGCTGGGGTGGTTGTCACAGCTCCGTTGAGCAATAGAGTCTGAGCTTGGTTTGGCGCTCGGGCTGGGGTTTGTGGAAAGGGGGATGGGTGAGGCAGGGGCTGGGGTGACCTAGGGAAAGGGGTTGGGTGATGCATAGGGGTAGGGGTGATGCAGGGGAGGGGGCTGGGTGAGGCAGGGGCTTAGGTGTAGTGGTTGTAGGCGTTGGCCGCCGAAGGTGGTGGCCGACGGAGGTAATTAGGCAGTGCGGCGGCGGTAATTGGGTGGTGTCAGTGGCGGTGTAATTGTGGGGATGTCACTGTGACCTGCGACGGTGTCACTGTGGTGTGTAACTATGGCGGTAACATTATGGCATGCGGTGTCACTGTGGCCGACGGTGACTGACTGCGACGGCGGCAGTGACACGAGCAATGGCGGAGGAAGTGACATGGCAATGGCAGCAACCGTGACATGGGCGATAACGGCAGTGACATCCAACAGTGACATGAAAATGGGGCAGTGACATTATAAATATTTGGCTGTCACTTTATTTTAGTCACATTTTTGTCCAAATCTAAAAGTTGTCACATTTTTGGAAATCATTCTTAATTTAGTAATATTGAGAGAATAACCTCATTTATTATTAGCATCATTGGAGCTTTTATAGTAAGAGAGATAAATTATTGAAACATAGTTTGTAATAATCTCGGTGGTTGGGTGGATGAATTGGAAGAGGCATTAGGATTTCTATGCGATTGAGGTATGCCGACTAGACTAAAAGGTAAATTTTATCGAACATCAATTAGACCTGCATTAATGTATTGTGACACCGCACCCGAATATACTTGAATTTGAGGTTTCAAAATGTAATTGAATTTTCCTAGCGAATTAATTCGTGTGGCAGAATTGGTACATTTAATTAATGCGTGATTAATTAAATTATTTATCGGGTTCAGTGTATGAGAATGGGCTACCAAATATTTAGTTGGGTCATCATAATAATTTTAGAAGCCCAATAAAGTGCCAACCAAAGTTGTTAAAAATATTTGGACAACCCGAGTGCTATTTTGGCCCAACCTGCCGAAAATAGCAGGAATAATCGGGGAGAACTTTCTACACCCACTTGAGATACTCTACCAGTCAAATAACTCCCAAAATTATTGGGAGGGGACAAGTAAATCAGGTTAGGGGCGGACCTATGAGGAGAGGGGATGGCTCAAGACAAAACCACACCCCTATGTCATATCATTTGCCATATTATTGGCCTTTGATAAGGAAGGAAACATCCCCCCTATCCTCTTGCATCATTCGAACAAACCAAAGGAGGAGGGAGCTCCAGGGAACTCTCTCACATAGCTCACAACTTGAAGGAAGCACCAACAAGGAAAATCCAAGAAGGAAAAGTTTGAGGTTGAGGTAAGAACTCAACTAGTATCTTCTTAACTAGTATTGTTTTGTATGATTTTTAAGAAATCATATGGTAGATTAAACGTGGAGTTCTACACGTTTAAAAGTCTAGAATAATGTTATAGAGTGGTGGGATTTAACTTAGAAGAGTCGTGGAATCAATAGGAGTTGAAACCGCCGGAAACCGCCACTCCCAAGGAGCTGCTCGTAGCTGCAGACTACGAAAGCCGCCCGGCTTTGGTGAAAGCCGCCCGGCTTTTGGGCTACTGTCCAGGAATTTCGCTTTTGATCGGGTTAGAACGGGGATCGATCGAAGGGCTTATCAAAGGCAACTAATCCAGCGCTTCATAAGGTGAGGATGGCTGACTATGTTGTTTATAATCTTTGGGTTAATTTCGTAAGATTACCTAAAGTAATTAAATGTTATTTTCATGGATTATTAATGATTAATAATGCCTAAATGAAAATATTGTTGTCAATGAATAAAGGGGCATAATATACAAATTTAAGAATAAATTGTGTATGATTATGTAATATAAGCATATTGGCTTGATGAAGGGATTAACTATGAATATTATGTTGAAATATAATTTTAACTTCATATAAGGATATATGAGTGATTAAAGATTATATTTTGTATATTGATATGAACTATATTTTCAATGGAAAATTAGTTTGAGAATTGTCTATATGACTATGAACCGAAATGAGATTTTGTTGGGATTTATCCGACTAGTATAATGATACTAGTCGGGGTTTTGGAATGAAATATGTTAGAATTGATCCAAGGTTTGGATTGTAAATTGTTGAGCCTTAAGTAGTCTTAAGAGATACTAAGGTGGATAAGTGATGCTAGGGGTAGTCCTTAAGGGATACCCAAGATAAAGTGAATAATAAATTGATCCTAGGAATAGGATTGGCCTACGGGTGTATTCGGTAGTCTTTAAGGATTAGCCGATAGAGTATTGGTAATTAGTAAGGACCATGGCCCTTCCCGACTCTAGAGAGCGGGGTTGGATAGCATGGACTTACATCGTGATCACGGGTTAGGGTGGAATCCGAACCGGAGACCTTACGAGGCTCCCGACAGCGGTAACACATAAGATAGGACCCCGAATGGACCTTACCTTCCTACGGAACGATGGGTATGAGTTCAGGGGCGGGATGTTGGACTCCGGCCCGAGAGCCCGGTGAGGCCTCGGAGAGCGGTGACAAGTCTCGTAAAGGATGATAAGACCTACGGGCGGTGTCGTGCTAACGACGGGTATAATGAAATATATGAAATGGGCCGTGTGCCGACAAATAAATAATTTACTTATTATAGAGATAATAAGTGGGAAATATAAATTATTATTTATATTATGATATCACCCTATTTTGAGGGTCTTAGAAGTTGAAACATTGATTATACTTGGTATAGTTGTCATTGTACTTGTCAAATGCTTCCAAGTACTGACCTCCCCTTCACGGGGGAGGCCACCTCACAGTTTCAGGTAGGGAGTAGAGCTTGCTACCAGTGCCCGTTGCCTCGGGAAGATCTAGGAAGGAAGACGTGGTTCGTGCTTCCTCCGTCCCTGTTTTAAAAACATTTAAATTAATGCTCATGGATATTTTTGAATGATTATTGGGGCTTGTATGCCCATGTTTGCCGGAGTGTGGCATAAACACTTGTATTAAACGTTTCCGCTGATTTCAATTGATTATTTTACATTATGTTTGTTTATGGATGTACTATTGTGAATGATATTCAAGACGCCTAGTATAGTATGGATGAGTTGGACTGCGGTTGACTATTCGTACTGTACGGCGGGTTGTTGACGTGTCCGGTAGGTCCGGGGCGTGACATGTATGGCGTAGAATGTTGGGCGGTGAAGAAATGTCACATTCAAAAGATGAGTGTGGCAGAGATGCGTATGTTGCGTTGGATGTGTGGACATACCAGAAAAGGCCGCCTCAGAAATGAGATAATTAGACAAAAGGTGGGAGTAACACCTATAGTAGATAAGATGTTGGTGTTTCGTTTGCGGTGGTTTGGGCATGTGTGTAGAAGACCGAGTGATGCATGCACTTGTTAGACGACTTGAGGGGTGGGGGGAAGAGGCAGAGAAGAGAGGGAGAGGAAGACCTAAACAGGCTTGGATTAGAGGAATCAGAATTGATATCCTTGTGGACGATTGATGTCTATTCTACCTTTTCTCTCTCTTTTCTTTGAGCGTTTTTCTTCTTATATTCTTATGTTATTTTTATCTTCTTGTTTTTCTATGCTCTTTTATCTTTCTATCTTTTATCTTTCTTATATTCCTATCTTATATCTTTCCATCATTCATCTCTTTTATATTTCTATCTTATGTTATTGTTACCTTATTTTTATGGCTAAAGGGTCAAATAGGCCTCTGTACCGGTCATGAAAGTTCAATTCAGTCTCTGAACTAAAAAAAGGTTCAATTCACACCCTGAACCGGCAAAAAAGGGTTCAAATTTTGTTTTTAAGGTTAAACAATTGCTAAAAAAGGTCCTATTCACACTCCTAAACTATTAAAAAGTGTCAGAATTACAATAAAAAAAATAGAAACAATTAAAAAATTTAAAAAATGACCAGTGGTTTACCCGTAAAAAATGAAATTTGAACCATTTTTGTCGGTTCGGGGTGTGAATTGACCCTTTAGCCTATTTTTATTTATCTTTATTTTATCAATTTTATTTTACTTTTTTCCCTTTTAGTCTATCTTCTCTGTTTGGCATTGATATCATAGATCGATTCATGTTAGCCGACCCCAAATTCTTTTGGATTAAGGCATCTATGTTAGTTGTTGAGTTTGTAATAATTTCAAATCGTTTAAATTACATTCAACTATCACTTCTAATACTCTGACTAATCTGATTTGGGATGAGTCGTGTGCTCACTTATTACATCTATTTTTATAAATAATCTCTAACTAATATGGGTTCACATTTGAGTCTAAAATTATTCTGGCCAATAATTCCACAAAATAATCATCTTTCACTCATTTTTTGTACAACGAAAAATCATACTTCGAGAAATAATGATGATGCATAAATTTAATACTCTATGAATTTTACTCCGTATCATATTTAGTAAAAGCAATCAATGTATAGGCAATTGCCAAATTTAGAATGTTAGTTCAAAATTTGCATTCATCTCTTATAATCATAAATATTTTAGAATAAAAAGTTGGTTAAAGTAATAATTTAGGATAAGGGGGTATGCATTATGGCGTACTTTTTTATGTTTACGAAAAAGAGTTTTCTATATGTACGTAGGCATTGGCTGTATGCTGCTTGGAATGTGTAGA